GATTCGGGTGAGGTGAGTTCCAAGTATAATGGCCATCAGTGGGTGGTCGTTGCCTCGATCCGCTGGAGCTGCCACGTCCGCGACCACGGCCCCGGTTTCCACCGCCCCGTCCGTGACCTCGTCCATAGCCGCTACGCTGTCCCGAGGAGCCTTCGCCATAGCCGCTGCCAAAACTGCCCTGCTGCCCGCCAGTGTAGCCGCTGCCCTGCGGCGTGGGGTTGCTGCCGTAGCCCCCTGGGTGGGAAGAACTGCCCGATCGTGCAACGAGGGCCGTAGAGCCGTGGTTGTCCAGCGGGGAGCGTTGCCGTTCCAAGAGAAGCAGAGCCGATCGGGCTTGAAGGAATGTGGGTAGCGGATCTTGAAACTAGAGGAACGAAGTTTGAGCCTGAAGATCCTCCGGCAGTCCGCATAGCATCTGAAGAACAAGCTGGTTTTGTGATACCGGCGCATCAACATCGTCCAACCAATCGGCGATGTTGAAGAGATTTTGACAATAAGTAGCCATTGGGGTGTTCCCTTTGACGGTAGTACGGAATTGGTGCTCGAGTTGCATGGCCCGAGCATGTTTATTGTCGTGAAAAAGATCGTGTATCACCTTCCAGAGAGAGGCAGCAGAGGTGGTGGAGGAGATGACAAGGTCCGAAACCTCGTCGGTGATTGTGGAGAGAATCCAGTCTTGTAGAAGAGCATCCAGTTGAAACCATTCATCGTCGTCGTCGGAGGTAGGGACGACGGATCCATAGAGGTAACCATGGAGATTGAAGCGCCGAACAAGAAGAAGAAACAATCGGCTCCACTTTTTATAATTGGGTTGAGAAAAGCTTAGTTGAATGGGGACATGGAGTTTGACATTGGAGATGGTAGTAAAGGCAAGATGTGGGGATTTAGAGGTGGTGTTTGGAGATGTAACTTCACTGTCCGTCATGGTGATTTGGGGGGAAGACGCCGGCAGGAGGTTGCCGAGAGAGAGAGAGAGAAACCGGCGGCTGAGAGAGGAGAGCCGAGAGGGAGGCCGGCGCAGGGAAGAGAGGAAAAATTTTAGGGTTAGGGTTTATGTGGCTCCGATACCATGTAGAAAGAATATTTTCATTGATGAATTGTGGTGATTACATATGTATATATACTAAGAATTTCAATCCTAATAATGGTAGGAGAGACATAGTAGGAAGGTGATACAGTTATGGTAACAATATAATACAATAATATTAAATATAAAGAATATATTTAACATTCAATTTTAGAAAGAAAAAAAACACAAAGAGTTTCTAGAAGGAAAATGACCAGAAACAAAAGAAGATGAATAATGTTGATAACAAATTCAAGGTTGTCCTCTCTACTCACTGTCCGGATGCGGCATTATTAGTCATAGACTACTCATACTTTTGCACAAATAATACATACCCAACCAAAAACCCATCAAATTAAAATTCACTTGTGTGGGATTTAGAGGGTGTTTTGTAGTGTGATGCTTTTAAAATTTTTGCTTCTATTTTGAGTAGAAGTGATTTTACTCTATTTGAAGTGTCAAGTTTGGCTTTTCTCCATCACTATTTTATGCATACAAAACTGTTTCAGAGAAACAGTTATAAGGTACTTTTGCTTTTAGCTTTTGTAGAAATCACATTATCCGCAAGTTAAATACTCTCAAATACCCTCTTAAAACTGGAAATCCATTTGAACTATTAAATTCTAAAATTTGAATTTTTGGGTTTCAAATTATAAGGTAGAATAGTATATTTTTAATTGAAATTTGTTAGGGATTAGAAGAATTTAGTCTAACTTTAGGTTTTCTTTTAGATAATCAAGCATGTAATTTAGGTTAAACATGAGTTTGAAATTCAAATTTAAGTTTCCAAACAATTCATTAATTAAGTTAAATACTCCCTTTCTCGTTGTAAAGAAGTTTCTAATTCAACCATGTATGTTTTGGGTACCCCAAGAAGTGTACCCCAAGATGCATTGGTATTTTAACGGTTCACACTGACATGAAATATCGGTTCAATCAAAAATATTAGTACTGGTATTTTATATTTTTGTAAACCACCACAATAATATTACAGTAGCACAAAGTATTAGTGCATGCATTGGGGATACAAAGTTGGGTACAATTTTTAGGGTACACATTATTTAATTGATTTTGAAGAGCTTTAAAACAATACTCTTGAAAATTGTTGAAATTTATTCAAATATTCCATAAACCATTAGAGCACTCGAAATGGGTTTGAAGTAGGGAGCTCCAAACTTTTTCTCTGCCACATCATCTTTAACCTTCTTTTAATCTACACTAGTGTATCACTAAAAATATTAGGCTTCAAATCGGGGCTTCAAATATTTTTTATTTTTTAATATATATTTTATAAAAGGAAATTAATAAGATTCCATTAATTAAATTTAAATCGTAATATTTCATTAAATAAAAAACACATTCAATAAAAAAATTGAATAAAGTTCAAAAAACAAAAAAAATTACAGAATTTAAAAAATTTACATCTTGTTAACTATCAAAACTTTTCCATTATTTTGAGTTCCTCCTCTATCCTCTGTGTCTCCCTTTCTTCTTCCCTAAGATTGAACAACAACATTTATTCCACCACTTGCCGGCCGATATCATTATGAGAGAAGACAGAGTCGGGCCCAAAAGTTGACACAATTCATTTAGCATTCTTTGTTCCATTCCGTTGTGGAATGGGGTCCTCATTATCAGAGTCGTCTAAGTTCACGGGGTCTTTTGTTCCGACGAGCCGATAGTATCCTCCACGTCAATCTCGGTGGAGGATGTTTTCTTTGATAATCCAGCCTCGTGGTTGCAGAGTTGTTGCCATTTCGATGAACGGCTAATAATTTTCCACAAATCAATGGGGACTTTACCTTGGTGCCCTTCGTCTTGATACCGAGCATTCGCTTGCTGCAGAATATCGTCATTATTCATCCCGTTCTTCCAGGACCCGACACATTCCTCGTATGTACACTCTAACAAGTTTTCGAATTTTTCTATTTATGTTTCTATTTATGTGGCCCCATTTAAAAGTGAGTTGGTCTCGGCTTTGGTGGCAGGGGTCCTTGTTCATTTCCGCAAAGAACTTCTCCTTGATACAATCTCACATCGCATCCCTCGATTGATTAAAAACTTTTAAGAAGCATGTAATTTAACAAAATTATATTCTATAATTATACACACACACACACACACACACAGATATATAAAAGAAAATATAAAAGAAATTTTTACACTAAATAGCACTAAAACTTAAGTCATTTTCATAAATAGCATTTGAACTGTTTTATTCCCTAAATAGCACTTAATAATGTCCAGTGATGACGAATATTAACTTGAATAATGACTAATGCATAATGACTAAAAGTGCTACATTGGGAAGAGAAACACATGTGGTGCTATTTAGAGAAAGTCATTATGTTTAAGTGTTATTTAAGTAAAATCCTCAATATAAAATTTACTAATGATAGGATGCTCTAAGACGTCGACCCATGCAGACGCCACCAAAACTTATTCATTCGGTTTCCATTTTTAATTGACCAAGTTGCCTTAGTCATCGACTTTTTGGTTCTTGAATGCGGCTTGTGACTCTTTCGCTGCCTTTTTCAGTACATTTGATTCAGGTTGAGTTTCTAGAATCGACTCCATGTCCCCTAGATTTACTGGTGTGGTTTGGCTCTTGAAAAAAGTCGAATTATTCTTCTACGTCTAGTAAAACTAAATCGCGTACTCATTAGGTTCAAGACACGCTGGAGGACCGGATGAATTTCTAATAAAAATTAAAAAATAAGAGAGAAAGTTGAATTTTTTTAAGAAAGATGAAGATTTGCGTTTGTGTGTTTTGTTTTTTTTTTTGAAAATTAGAGTGAATATATATAAGTTAATTTTTTAATGCCTAACGGCATTATAGTCGTTGGAATGGAGGGGTACGCCACCTTTATCTCTTCTTTCACCCGTTAAATATCGAGCATGATGAAGTCCCGAAAATGTACATGGGGAATGGTGTTTAACGCCCCCACGACATTAAAAATGCCCACAACTTTAAAAGTAGTTTTAGTGCTCTCAGATACTCAATTATTATTATTATTATCATCATCATCATCATCATCATCATCATCATCATCATGGTGTACTTCATTTGTCCAAAAGTTATTTTTTCTATTTGATTTTTCACGATCTCCCATGTTACATTTTGATCATTTATATCCATATTTTATAAAAATTTGATATTTCAAAACTATATTCCAAAAATAATCCATTGATATTATAATATATTATATTTTTTTGAATATTGAAGTCAAAATTTACAAGTTTTACGTTTAGTGTTATTACAAGTAGTCTCTCTGCATTATTTTGAACCATACAATTTTAATTTTATTAAATTTTGTGCCAAACACAATTGAGAGTCTTTTTTGGAGGGATGTAGTATTCCATCCGTGCCAAAACGTTTTTCTCGGTTACTATTCATACGGTCAAACTTTAATCAATTTTTTTTACCTATTATCATTAGTTATCTGATAAAATAATATAGTCTTATCACCTTTGTTTTATAAAACTTTTGATATAGTTTTTAAATATATAAACTTTATTTTTAAATTTTACACCTACAACCAAATAAGCTGAATTAAAAATAAAGTCAATCAGGTGAACAGAAACGGAAAAAATGCTTTAGGACAGAGTATTTAAAAAACTCAAATATGAAAGGATAAGCACGTGGGAGGAAAGGGATGGGTGGAAAGAAAGGGACAAAGAGAGTGAGGTGGCATCTCATCATCTTCTTCTCCTTATCTATTGGTATATTTGTATAAGTATTATTCTATGTATGTATGAATAATGTATGTATACTCCGTATTTTATTTAGGAAAGTTAATCAGATGGGATATGTAGGCCATGGTGCAATGCATCTCTTTGTCTACTCTTTTCTCCTTTATTTGGACCCATTTCACTACAAAATCCATTCATTATTGGTGTGGAAATCCACACTTAGAAGCATTCAATTCTAAAATATTTATTATTATTATTTTTACTATTTTTGTATGAAAAAAATTCATTCATCTTTTATGATTAAGATTGATAAGTTTAATTTGGTCATGAAATTGAAAAACACTATGTTGTTTCAAAGGAAAGAGAGTGCATCCGTCCCAACTTGACTAACGATCAAACTAGTCACGGCACTGGTTCACTGATTTACGGGTCTTTTAAGTGGTTAAAAATTCACTGAATATATATATATATATATATATATATATATATATATATATATATATATATATATATATATATATATATATATATATATATATATATTCAAGAGAAATTTGCCTAAATAGGACTAAAACATAATGACTTTCCCAATATAGGATCATATGTTTTTATTTCCCAATGTAGGACCTTTGGTCATTATAAAGTAGTCATTATTCAAGTAAATGTCCATCATTACTGGGCATTATTCCTCCTACTAGGTCATTATTAAGTCCTATTTACGGAATAAAAAAGTTTACATCCTACATTGGAAAAGTCATTATGTTTTAGTCCTATTTAGTGCAAATTTTACTATATTCAAACCCCATAACAAATTCCATCACTCACAAAATTATTCTTTCATCATCAAAATAAATTCTAAACGTATATGAAGCACTTTTTTATTTTAAATAATTTTCTTACATTTTGTTAAAGTTAAACCCCCTTAAACTAGATAACAAACATTGGAATAAAAAAGAAACTAAATATTCGCTAGTGTATAGCATGGCACCTAATATTTTATTCGGTCGGCCATGACAGATATATACCAGTATGACACAAATCTGTGGAAATAAAAAAAGAAAAAAAATATCTTGTATAATGACAATAATCTTATCTTTACCCAATTTTTTGAACATAATCCTATATTTTGCTATTTTTTTATAATAATCTCACTGTTGCTGAAATACGCATTTTTTGGATCGTCGTTAATATGCTAACAGCCCGTTTAAATATAATAGCCTGTTTTGCGCAATAAAATAAAAGTTGGATTATTTTTTAAAATATTATTTTTAAATTCTTTGCATCGAAGTTTTCCTTAAAATTTTTAAAATGACTTTCTACCCCATCATTTATTTTTCTTTTTTCTAAAGATTGGTCTTATTTCAGAGAAAATAAATAATAGATATAAAAATAACAAAAAAAGAGACAACAAAAAGCATAAAAAAAATTCTCCATATATGATAGAGGCCAAGGCCCATTTTTTGTCTCGTCTAGGGCCACCGAATATTCGAGACCGACCCTGGTCAAAATAAACCTCGTCTTTATCTATTTAAAAACATTTTTATTCACCCTCAACATGTGATTAGTTGAAAGAAAAAACAATGGAGATTTCATTGTTTTTTTTTCAATGAAATTTTTATTAAGACAAAAAGATTTGGTATCGGAGTACATATTTCTTATGATGGATTATGTTTTAATTTCACATTTCCCGACCGAAATAATTACACTCGCTCTTTTACATTCTAGGTCCATATTTATCTTATAGACCTTACTAGTATCAACCATGTGTTTCGCACGGGCTCACATATATTCTAAATTTTGACATCTAAAATATAAAATATCATTTATATTAAATTCTTTAATAATGATATATGATGTGTTTGATAAATAATTTCTAACTATAAAATATCTCCTTTGAAAAAAAAAGTTTTAGTTTTAATATTGATGTACATGTATTAAAATTTATATAAATATCTATTTTGGGATGTACTCCGTAATAAAAGGGAAAATAATGAATAGTTTATGAAAAGCCACATCAAGCTTTCTTTTTAAAAGATTAATAAAACTTATAAAATCTTTTTTAGATTTATAACTAATTATGTTTAGTGGCGGGACTTTTTTATTCCGTAAATGGTATTTGAATAATGTCTAGTAGCGAGAAGCCGAGAACACGTCCAGTGATGGTGGACATTTAGTTTGAATAATGCCCAGTGACGGAAGACATTTACTGGAGCAATGACCAGTGGTACTACATTGGAAAATAAAAATATATGGTACAAAATTGGAAAGTCACTATATTTTAATACTATTTAGGTAAATTCTCCTAAAATAAATAATGTAATAAGACAAAAATTTGAAATATATTATGAAGTTAACAAAGTTGTATGTGTGATTACATATAATAGTTTTTTTAAGATGATGGATAATTTTTAAAATTATAAGATACATTGTTTTTTAATTAATAAATTTATATTTTTATGTATTATAAAATAGTCGCGTATATTTAAAAAATATGTTAAAACAACAAAAAATATTTCTTAAATAGTTAGAAAGTAAAAATTTTATTAAAAAAACAAAAATAAGGGTTTTTATTGTTGGAAAGTGAAGGGTTTATAAAATATAATAAATATAATGATTTAATACAAAATTGAGTATGCATATGTGGAGTGACATGTGTCTTGTGATTTACACGTGGCATGACACATGTCAGTAATGTGCACGTGTAGCATGACACGTGTCATCACCACAACTAAGTAACTCTATTTTACATATATACTAGTATTCTAACCCGTGCGACGCACGGGGTCGAACCAAATTTTTGTCGATTCTAAATTATTCCAATGAAATTTATTTTTCGGAATAAATAAAATTTATTGCTCTTTTTGCGATGCACGGGGTCGAACGAATATCTTGTCGATTCTGAATTTATTCAATGTAATATTTTTTTCCGGAATAAAGGAAAAATATTTCATGCATGATTTATAATAACACAGAAAAGAAAGACAAAGTAAAAAGAATAATATCTGAGGAATTGAATCTACACACAACAAAGTTTGCTTTATTACCAAATTTTTTGAAAGACTTTAGGGTATATAACATTTTTGGTATGGCTGCAAGGATTTCCATTGTCATTTAAGACTAATATTTTTAATCATGTCTTTGTCTTCACTCGCGAAACAACAACATAAAGTTGACCATGAGTGAACACTGACTTGGTTAAAAATAATCCAACAAATGACAATGTTTGACCTTGACTTTTGTTAATAGTCATAGCAAAACATAAGATTATTGGAAATTGTCTTCTTTGGAACTTCAGAGGTAGTCCTGGATCAGACGATACCAAATTCATGCAGGGTATGTAAACTTTTTCGCCCACTCGATTTCCCGAAACCTCAATAGCACCAATAACATTCTTTCGCATCTCGTCAACAATTAATCTTGTACCATTACACAATCGAGATGTTTGGTCAATGTTCCTCAGTAACATAATTGGTACCCTTTTTTTTAAAATTAAACTATCCTGTGGTTTGGGATTCCAGAACATTTGATATCATTCAAAAACTCAACTGTTATCGAGTCACCATCAACACCTATATCTGAATCTGCTTGGCATGATGAATTAGAACTCAAGTACACCATTTCATCTCCGGGAATGAGGGATAAGACAAATTCATTTGCCATCTCTACAACTTCGAGCGTGAGTGCTAGTAGTGCCATGTCTTCAAAAAAAGAATAACTTCTCATATTTTCCAATAAGTTCGTATAAGTAAAGTCCACTATACTTTTGAGGGGAGAACTGTTATCTAGAATACTGAATGACAATCATCGCATGTTCCAACGGCGCGTGTCGAAGGAAACTTTTAAGCACGTCAACATACTCACCAAATAAAGTAACATCCAACCTTTGTCTGGTATACCAAAGTTTAAAAGTTAGCATTACATATTAGTTCATTAAAAAACAACCTCTTTTTACGAAACAAAAAATAATAACATTATATCCTTCGGCCTCCAACGTAATCACAATCATCTTTGTTTTTTTTGGCTCCCTCACTATATCTCTTTCCTTCCCAACAGCCGAAAGAATTCCCATAGTGTCTGCAATGTAATGATGATATTCAGAAGAACGAAGAGAAACATATTCCATCTAATCCACCTCTTTAACGTGTATGTAATTCAAATTTAAAAAAACTTTTAAGGCAAAAGTAAGGAGCATTACCAACTAAATACGGATAGTTCGAACCTACGTGCAAGATATCACGGAATGCAACCAACCTAATTCCATAAACTGGTATTTTGTCACAACTGGTTTCTGTGACGGTGGTCCTTGCTTGAAAATTTAGGCGAAACTCATGTCTTGAAGTGCGATAATATCCACTGCTATTGCCAACGCCAAAATAAGCAAAGCATATACTGATCCTTCCTTTTATATTATTCTCAAAAGTTCCCACCAAACTTTTTCTTACAGTGACATGGATAGTAGTTTCCTACAAAATGTCAAGGAAACTTTAATACTTATAGGGACTTGAGAGACTTCAATACTTAGGGACTAAAGAAACTTCAACAGGTATTAACACTATCTGACCTATTCAAATGTGTTTCGAAACTATAAAAACAAATTTGTAGAGACTTTGAAAAGTTTTAGGCAATATAAAAAGTTGTTTTGTCTGATTTTTTTAAGCACTTGAGAAGGTTCAACATGAACAGGCAGTATAATACTTCCTCCGTCCTAATTCTTTCTTCCCAGTTTGACTTTTCCTCATTTTTAATTTTTGGCTTTGACTTCAAATTTTACCCTCCTTAAAAAAGATTTTTTGAATTTTTTTTTTGCAATCATTCAAAATATAGAGTTAGAAGATAATTGGTGTAAATACATGAGGGTATTACTGTCATTTGTCATCTTTTTTTTCTAATGGGAAGGTAGTTTTAGGACGGAGAAAAAGGGAAAGTGGGAAGAAAGTTTTAGGACAGAGGAAGTAACTAAGAATCTAAACTCAACAGACTTTTTTGGCAATATAAAAAGTTGTTTTGTCTGATTTTTTTAAGCATTGGAGAAGCTTCCAATATCCAGGGACTGGAGAAATTTCAACAGACTTTAAGAATCTAAACTCAACGCCATAAAAAATATAAGAGAATATAAATTTGAAAATAGGCAGCAGAGTATAGGGGGGACAGAATATGCACAGACTATGGACAACACAGGATACAAATATGAAAATAAAGAGAACAAATAATACAAATTAGAAGAATTCACTCAGTCTAACTGCAGTGCTTATCATTCACTATATCAATACATCAGCACAAATGTGATTCTCTATTTTTAACAATTTTTATGGCAAAGAATCAGAGATTTTTTTTGTAGAAGGATCATTTAGGTTTGAACAAAAACATCCTTTCGAAAAGTTTTTAGGCAATATAAAAAGTTGTTTTGTCTGATGTTTTTCAGCACTGGAGATGCTTCAACATGAATAGGCACTATATATAATAACTAAATAGAATATAGTGTGATTAGTTTTTCCAATACCCAGGGACTTTAAGAAACTAAACTCAACGCCATAAAAAATATCAGAGAATATAAATCTGAAAATAGGCAGCAGAGTATAGGGGCACAAAATATAGCAAAATGTTGTGGTTTTAAAAAACTTGGAAAAAACATATTATCTATTCATATAATGTAAGCAAAATTCGTATAAGAAAATAATCTTACATGTTCATCCATGAATCTATATCATCTCAATCGAATTAGCTACTTTGTCATCATTGTAAACCGGCATCTTATACAATCGAATCACACGAACTAAAACTCTCCAGCATTCACTTGTTGGATTGATTTTCAACAAAGGGTGAATGGGTTTGGTAGACATGTTAATTGCGCAAAGATATTCGGTATGAGCAGCCCTTACAAACCAAGATTGATAAAAGGGCTAATTTAGAATTGATTTATAGATGACCTAAATAGGAATAAGGAATTCCGTGAACAAAGTGGAATCAGACAAACAATAAGGAAAGTTACGTTTCTTGGCCGAGAGATTGGTGCCGATGAAATTTCGCTCATCCCAATTTCATCTGCGAAGGAAAGTAGTGCATCCGTTGCGAAGGAAAGTGCATCTCCGTGTGAAATAATTTCACAGAATTTTCGTTCATCTCAATTTCATCTGCGAAGGAAACTTACCGTATTTGCGCTCATCTCTATATCGAAGAATTTGCATGAAAATTCGCGTATATTTGTCTGCGAATCTCCAGAATCGAACGGGTGAGTTCATCGCAGAGGCTGATGAACGACGAGTTTCTGTTCTGATCGAACGGGTGAGTTTTCTGGAATCCAACCGGCAGCCATCCACTATACGGATCATTTAGATCCGATTTGGTTAAGAAATACAAATAGTTACATTCACTTGATGACATGGCAGATGAGCTGTTCAAATTTTTGTCCACTCAGCATGACAAATGTCAAGATTCTGGGAGTTTAACTCTCAAATATTATATATAAAGGATATAGGATAGGATATAGGATAGGATAATATGAAATTGTTAAATGAATTAGATCTTGAAAAATCAAAAAGATCTAACTACGAGTGCATGAAAAGTAAGTGAGAATGTCCACATTAGATATATGAACCTTAATTAGGACCACGATAGCAAAATTCTTTTTTTTAGTTTTTTGTATTGAAGTTTTCCGTTACATTTTTAAAATGACTTTCTATCGCCATCACTTATTTTTTTATTTTTCATGAGATTAGTCTTATTCTAGCGAAAAAAATAGATATAAAAAATAACAAAAAAAGAGAAACAACTAAAAGCAAAAAAATTAATAAAATAAAAAGCTAATCAGTAAAAACTAATTTCAAACTATTAAGAAACAAAAATAAAAATATACAGTGTGGTAGGTTTTAATGTCTTAGGCATTTTACAGAGTATTAATGTATTATTTCTTTCCATTGGTAAAAAATGAAAACAATAATAAGAAATAAGAATAAAAAGTACTTATTAAAACCCTAAATAAATAAATAAAATTATGAAGAACTAACTAAAACAAAATCGTGTTGAAGTAAGAAAATAATTTTATTATTTCTTATTTATTACTTGTTTTTTCATGTTTTAGGGTTTTAATAAGAAAATGTATTTTTTATTTTGTTTTTATTTTCATTTTTTACCAACGCGAAGAAGTGATACATTAGTACTCCGTATAATGCCTAAAATGTTTGAACCCACCACTCCATATTTTTTTAGTGATTTGAGGTTAGTTTTTATTGTTTTCTTTTTTATTTTATTATTTTTTATGAATGTAGTTGTGTTTCTTATTTTCATTAATTGTATATCTATTTTTTTTATATTTTTTATGAAGTACGACTAGTCTTTAAAAAAAAATTTAAAAAATGATGGAGGTAGAAAATTTACTTTAAAAATTTAACAAAAGTCCAAAAAATGTAAACATGAATTTAAAAAATAATCTCATCATTCTTTTTATTGCGTAAAACAAGCTATTTGTGTTAACTAGTCGTTGGCAGTTTAACGGTGACCTAAAATGGGCACATTTCAATAAATATTAGATTATTGTGTATCAGAGCGAAATTTGAAATTATTTTTGAAAAACTGGATAATTGAAAATTAAATTATTCTTGATATTGTTTCCCATGACAAATAAAAAAGGTTAAAGGCATTATAGTGGAACGCCATTATTTTAGTTCTTCCCAATTTTTAGTCACATATTTGAACTCTACAACATTATAATAAAAACACTTAAATTTGGTATTTTTCCAAAAAAATAAAATAAAAATACTTTTAAAGAAATTAAAAAATGAAAAAGGGAGAATTTACCTAAAATAATCTCACCTTTCATTTATTTGCGAAAACGGGCATTTTTCAAAATTTCCGTTAAGTGACCTTTAGTTTTTTAACGGTGACCCAAAACTCGCACACATGCGAAAAGGTGGGATTATTTCCGGTGACAGTGAAAAGTGGGATTATTTTTGAAAGAGCGCGAAAAGGTGGGATTATTTGAGATAATTTTTCCTTAAAAAAAATAGAGAGTACCTTCTTTGTGATGTATGAGATGTGATACACATAGAAAACACTTTAAATATAGATTGATTCACACGATAAAATAAATTATTTTTTGAGGGAGTGATGGGGGACTTAATAGTTAATATTATTTTTAAGTTTCAATCATGTAGTACTCTATCCCTCATATTTAAAAATTACTCTATTTATTATGATTTTTTACATGCATTCAAAAAAAGAACGAATATAGATATATATTACATTGATGTTCATTTGATTTTTAATGTACTAGTATCACACCTCGTGCGTTGCACGGTTCGTATTAACGTTATAAATTTATATAGGTATTATTAAAAAAGTAAATAACTACACCGTATAATGAAATATAATGTTTTTCAATTGTGTAATACATAAATTATCTCCACCACATCTTCCTATTCTGAAAAGAAGGGGAAACATGAACCCATCGTTTTCCCGCCCAAGTGACTTCTTAAATACGGTGTAAGATTTTAAAATGGCGAGTGTTTCAAAAAATGAATTAAAAAGAATGACTGATTGAATTTTGATATTATTATTTTTATTAAAAATCAAAGGAGGTTAGATTTATTTTTCTTGAAACGCTGATTTCATAACCTTTTAAACCATAAAAATAAAAAGAGGAAAGATTTAAAAAAGGATAAATGTTTGAATTTTATTAATAACTTTAATGTGTAGGCAATTAACATGGTGCAAATAAGATACATAAGATTAAAATTTTAAAACTTTCATTATTAAGCACAAAAATACTCACGGGTTTAGAATTCTTGCAATACTTTTTTATTTTCTGCCACACTAAAAAAAATTAGTTACGCATATAATAAAGAAAAAAAGTTTCAAGAAGTTGATTTTTTAAAAATTGCCCGATACTCGACAATGACCTGACAAAAAATGACCCGGCCTGTTTTTGACCTTAAAATACTGGGTTTCGAACAAATGTTTTACTGATCGAACCCGAAGTTGACTGAACCCGAAATGACCCGCTAAAAATGGGTGAAACCCGACCTAACCCGAACCCGACCAGACCAACCCGTTAATCTAAGATTTTTTTTAGAATCATACTCCGTACATTTTAATATGAAATAAAATGTTATAAAAATAAGATTATAATTATATTTCTTTGCTTACTACTCATTTTTTGTGTATAGATTTATACCATCATAACAAATTTTAATGATGTCGCATAATTATCTTACATTTTTTCAA